CTCTCTCTCTCTCTCTCTCTCTCTCTCCCTCCCTTAAACATATATGAGAAATGTAGTCTAAAAAATGATGAAAAAGTAATAAGATATATTTTAGAAAGATAAAAGGATATTTAAAACATTAGAAAATTTATATTTGAAAGAAGATTAAATATGAATTCATTAATTTATGTTAAGAAAGGGAAAAACATTTTCAGTTTGGCCATTTTCAGTTTCTATCGAATCATATCTCTGATTCAAGAATAAAACTTAAATGTCATTTGCAGTGTTTTGTTTCATTCTTTTTTATATATTATTATTATTATTGTTATTATTATATCGATTAACTTCCTACCATTTAATTTTATTTTATATTCTTTTGATTCGAAAACTCTTTCTTTTTTTTTATAATTTTCTAATGAAATATTTCATAATGTTTAGAAATTCTCGAGGATGTAATTATTATTTTAATTATGCACATTTCAAGAGTTGCATTTTAGACGAATTATTATTCGTTGTAACAATTTTTGATGAAATAATATTGGAAATATGCAAAATAAATATATTAAAGTGATAGTTTATCAGAGTAATGGTGGATTAGAGCAATCCATTTGTGATATTGGTGTATATTAAAGTGATAGTTTAAATTTTGGAAGTTTTAAAATATTTATTGTTTAAATTTTAAAATATTATCGTTGCAATAATTTTCAACCAAAGAAACATTAGGAGATTATTTTATATGCAATTTGGATATAAACTAGAGTAATTGTTTAACTTATTAAATTATACAGTTTAAAAAAAAAAATTTTATATTTGTTGAAAATATACCTTAAAAAGGAAGGAAATTATTTCCTTCATGATCTTTTAATGGGGCAATATTTTCAAATAATGAAGAGCTAATAATTTGTTGCAATTTATGCTATTCATAGCTATCTATTTTCAAATTTTCAGTAATAGATTTAGTTTATATTACAGGTAATATAGAATGAAACGAAGACAACAAATTAAAATGTTTTGGCGTCGATTACACGGAGAAGATAACAAATTGAAAATATTGATGTTAGATGTTGATGATGAAGATTTTGTGGAAAATTTGAATGATTGCTTAGAAGCATTCCAGTCAAACATTCATCCAATTTTGATTCCATCCGGAAGTTCAGGTATTTTAAATTCTTCAAATATTTTATATGGCATTTAATATCGTAGTTTGTAAAAAAAAAAAAAACAAAAAAAACAAAAAATGACGAAAATTGGAAGAATTTAATATTTTTCTCTTTTTCATTTGTGCTTGTATTTTTTGGTACGATTAAACTATCCATTTTTTTAATGTACATATTCTACTAATCGTTCTGTTTTCCATTTTCTATATATTTAATATATTTATGATTTTTTTTTTCAGGCTCATATTTTGTTCGAAATTTACAAGGGCGACATATTGGTGTGTTCAAACCGAAAGATGAGGAACCATTTGCAGAAAATAATCCGAAATGGCCGAAATTCTTACAACGATTCCTCTGTTTTTGCTGTTATGGACGATCATGCTTGATACCACTCAATGGTTATCTATCTGAGGTAGCTGCTTCATTAGTTGACGAACGGTTACAGGTTGGTATGATTCATTTTCTCATCATATGCGAAAATACCTATTGATCATTTCGGGATTTCTTAAAAACGGGAAACTGAAAGAAGCGGATATTTTATTCTTTTAATTTCATTCATACATTGCCTTGCAGCTATTCATAGTACCAAAAACTCGTATTGTTAAAATGACATCTCCAGCATTCTTTTATCCACGACGATGTTGCACTGCATCAGATGTATATCCGAAAATTGGAAGTTACCAGGTAATTTGTAATATTTTTAATCAGATTGACTTGTTGATGTTCTCCACTTCATGACATTTTAATGGGATGCGTGAAGTTTCATTTTGAATTTTTTTGATTTTTTTTTTTCTTATTTCGATTTTATTCCAAATTTCTTTTGGGCCTCTTTCTTGTTGTGTTTTGGAAGAGTGTGAAAAATTAAACACATTTCAGCTTTTTGTTCATGGTTACAAACCTGCATATGATGTGGTACCTGGTTGGGAGCTTATCAGTGGTACCAATGATCCACTTACATCTATCGAACGGAAACGGTTCCTCGTTTTGTTTCAAAAAATGTGTGTATTAGATTATGTGATTCGGAATACCGATCGGACCATGGATAATTGGTTGATACGGTTAGTTATTTATTTTACAATTCGCTTCTCCAAAATTTTCTGTTTTTTGTTTGAGATATCTTGTCTTGTGTGTGTTTCAAACCTTTAATTTACTTTAATTTTAGGTATATTCCGGATGAAATACTTGATATTGCAGCTATAGATCATGGCTTGGCATTTCCTGTCAAACATCCGGAAACTGCGACAGTTTTGCGGCCATTTGTATACGGTTGGGCAAATATGGAAAGTACACGAGAGGCATGATTTATATTTTTTTTTATCCACTATCCAAATATCATAAATTAATTCTAAATAAATCAATAGTTCCAACGATATATTTCTTAACTGCCCAAAGCGGTTGGTAGTTTGTTATGCATTCTACCACTTTTATGCTGATTAATCAATTTTTCTTTTTTCACCGGACAAATAAATTTTTCTCGAATGCTGAAGTATAATTTTTCAGACGAATAGCTTTTTTTTTAATTAATTGCTTTGTTAGCAAAGAGTTTTTCTCAAATAATAAAATTGAAATTGCAAATTAATTAAATTTTTAAGCATACGTACGACTGGGTTCTTACATAATTATTCCCCACATTCTAATCATATGTTGATATTTTTCATTGTGGCTTTTCCACTGAACTCGTCATACTTCCAGCCTTGGGATGAACAGTTGCGCGATCGTTTGCTATCTTTACTTACGCCAATGTTCGTACATCGTCTATGTGTGGAAATCAGAAAGCTCTTCATGATTGACACTACCAATAATAGATTTCTGATAAATAATCAGCTGAAAGTATTTCGAGGACAGGTAATTACCATTGAAATTATTCGATTAGCTAGCTGATTAACCGGTGATTAACCAAAGTTTAAGACCTAACAGTAAGCTACCCAAATATTTTTTCAGCTATGGAATTTACGATTAGCCCTGCTGGAAAATGAATCACCACTGAAAATGATTCAACGACCACTTGTTATTGTTGCTAAACGATATCGTAAATATCCAACATCTGATATCTGGGAAGAGTGTTTTAAAGCTAAAACCCCAGACTATTCAGGGAGACGCTGCTGTTAGTTCCAGTGATTCATGCTGAAGTTTAGCTAGTCTTTTTTCGGAAAAAAAAATGAGGAAATTGCTGCATCCGATTTTCTTCAGATTTATCTAGAAACTCAAATCCAGCGGTAGATCTTATTTCCCAGAAATCTCCCGAGGAATGAATTTTCTAGCAGTAGAGTAAATCCTGACAATACTTTTATTTGTGACCTCTTTGGAGGAATCGTTTCTTTACAATACAATAATCACTTTTTTCCATTCTTTCTTAGCCTGATGGATTGTATTGATATATTTATGCATCATTGTTACTACGATTCGTATTCTCTAATTTTCAATCCTTTGCGCTGATTTTTCATTTTCCTTCAACTTTACATTCTCTTATGTTGAAATATGTAACTTTCAATTGTTCTATATTAACAAAAAAGCTGAATTTATATACAGCACCAGCCATAATAAAAACAATAGTTCTGATTGTATAAATCACTTCGCACGTTTTTTCTCATACATATAAAGCAAACATTTTTATTTGTTGATAATTTCGGAAAGATGGTTCCATTAGTATTATCAATTTTAAATTCTAAAAATAAAAACAAGCCTTATACTGACTGACCATTAACAACACAGCACCAAGAACGGTATTTACAACTTCAAATACTGTTATGAAATTTTGATGCCTGAAAGGAATATAAAAAGAAAGAACATGAGAAAAAGATGAGGAGATCTCATTGTGCTCATTTCTCTTTTTTTCAGTGGCATAATGTATTGAATTCAATGTTTTTTTCGGGAACTATGCATCTGTAATATTGATCCTTTCCTTTTTACTCTGATACCACTAGGATTTTCAAAGTTTTAACAATCCTCTTTTCCAAATATGACTTAGTTCATAAAATGTTTCGAAAACTGTTTAAAGGGAGGACGGAATGTAGGTATCAAAGAATATAGTTGAGATGAAACCCATGTCAAACAGTTTTGCGTTTTGAGTAATATATAGAAACTATACAATGTTGTAAACGTACGTGTGTTTCTCCAAAAACTCTCCTCTTTTCTTATTAAATCAAAACATTTAACTGTGCTGTTACGCGTCACAGTAGTGCAACACTGAGTTCAAAACATACTAAGCAAACATCTTGCATAGCACATCATTAGATATGATCTGTCCCATACTTTCATCTCATAAACTAATTTATCAATACCTGCGTTCAAAAGATACATTATTCTACACGGCTAATTTTCCACACTTGGCATGATTTAGGACGATTTCAAATCACAACCACTATTTGCCCGTTTCTTCAGCGATTGCCTGTTGCAATAAATTCATTATTTCCGTATGCAAACGATTCAGACGCATTGGACTTTGAATCATATCTAATTTTTTCCAAATCATTTTTGCTGAAAGTAATAACAAGGATAGTAAGCTATATGTTTTAATGATAATTTATTTTTTCATTGTATGAATTCAATGAAGTGTTAAAACGCTAACATTTTGATGATTATTTTCATAAATTAATGACTCTTAATGATTATTTTCATAACAAACCAAACGATTGCAACATCAGTAAGGAATGCATGCAATTAATATCAACATTAAAAAAGTGATGAGAATGATTGTATGCTTTAGTCTTTGAAAGTAGAAAGTAGCAGTGTATTTTTCTGCTTTTACTGACTTCATCGAATCAATTAATAAATATTTCACGCACTGTGTAATCCCGATTAAAGATGTTGTGCATGAAAGAGGATATGTAAAACCGTCACGTGAAAATGTCCGACAGATTTTAGATGGGCCGTAGTAAAATTTGTCCAATTTTTAATTATCAGTTTCTTTGTAGGAACATTACATAATTACAACAAAGATTAGACGTGATTAGAACTAGAAGTGTCTATGAAAAGGGAGAAAGTTTCGAACATACCAAATAATTCATTCATTCCAGCTTGCGGTTCGTTCGGGCCAGCTGATTTATTACTCCCGATTTCTAGCATCGATCCGATAATCGGCCTGCCCTGAAATATGTAAAATGAAAACATGAAGATAAATTAGACGGATATTTAAGAAAGTTATTTTAAACCAAGCTCAGAACCCAATCCACAAATATAACTTAGAAATTCTAGAACCGTTCCTTACAACTAACCTATCGAATTTTAAGGTAAGAAAATTGAATATACTTCAATAAAAATAGCCACCATAAACCAATCTAAAATCCATCAGTAGATGGTTTGCAATAATCCCGAAGTTACCAAGAGCTCGTTATCGACAAGCATCCACTGATACCGAAAGATGGATGAAGAGCTGTGCATGCTCTTAATAAATCTTCCAACATCAGAGGATATTTTTTTCTTAAAATTTTTTAGGTAGATCAAACTTGCGGTATGAATTGAAGGACTTACGTTTAATTCGATATCACCACGTCCTGAACTGAATAAGAACTTCGGTGGTTTCGGTACTGACCTTTGCCGTGCTCTTCCCTGTTCTGGAATAATAGAATAATAATAATATTATTACTATTATTACCGTCCATCATAAAACGGAGCAATCAAGTTCGTTAGAAGTAAAGAAAGGAAGAATACGTTGTGTAAGCTTCTTTAGCCGATATGGACAAAAAAAAAGACAAAAAAAAGAAGCGGATGCCTACCTTCTAATTTTTTGATTGGTTGAAAAAGGAAAGAACTTTTTCGTTTTGAACTTTTCACAGTGATTTTCTTTTGAAAATTTTTGAACGATATTTAAAGGTTCAAATATGTGAAACAGGATGTTCACATTTATCAAATCAGTTTATTACTGCCTCAATTTAGTTTATAATTGCCACACTTCCCCAGCTTAATTTTCCTCGTCAATATTATCACTCTTAAACGTGTAAGTCCAAACTTATCACACGAATATAATGAAGTAATTCACAATTCACGCCGAAAGAAAAGAATACTGTAGCTCTAGAAGCAACTAATCTTTCTCAGGCGTCTTCTCGCCCTTTCACTGGTTAATTGATGAAACCCTAGGTTTCATTATATTAATGGAGAAATTTTTGAATTGTTACATCATCGTTTTTTTGTGAAATTTGCAAAAAAAAAAAATGTTAAAACGATGAAAAAACCAAAACCTTCCATCATCAAACGCGACTTCGGTGGGCCTTCGTAAATGCGTTTCTGCAATTCTCGAATGCATTATATGAAATTCAGAATTTGGTAAAGGTTATGAACCTCTAGCAGTAAAGATGACATCAGCACTTGCATGCATACCATTTATGAAGATATTAGTAGGGCATTTTCGAAAGATTACAGGATTTTTATATTATCAGCATGTTCCTATATTATGAAGAATTCGAGGAAGTTATTTTTTAAAGTTTCTTTGAATCTACTTTTTTACTTCCTCAACCAAAGTAACTTAGTGGGAAAAGCAGTAACAACTGCTATTATTTTCAAATTTAAATTGGAAATTAATTTCTAGCTCTTCGACAAGCTAGCTTATACAGTGCTAAAAACCAGCTTTGAGCAAATCTGCTGAAATAAAAAGAGCACATTACAAAAAATCCAAAGAGTGCATGTGAATCATACATTTTTGATATGCTTTTATGGAGCTTTTTTTGCATCCCACAATTTCATTTTCAACTTCAGAAATTTTAAAGCGCCTCAACCACCTCCTGCCTAGCGATCAAAAATGATTATAGTACTCAAATGATGCTAACATCAAATGTTATGAAATTTTTTTAAAGCGAAAACACCTTCGCAATGTTTGGAATCTAAGTGTAATGTAAAACTATTCAAAATAATTTTTAAAAATAAGTTTCCCATCTGATGCCATGATCCAAACTCAACAGCATCGCTGCGAAGAAGGTATTTTTCATCACTTTTTTCAGAAATAAATACCTGAAGTTAATAGGCAATCTAAATCATTTGGATGGTTTTCATTCAAAAAAGTGAACTTCTAGAAGAATAAAAAAACTAACTGACCTCCGATCCCGGATGACCAGGATGTATCGATGGTGTTGCTTCGTTGAAAAAACCGAATTTCTGTGGTGGAAAAAGATGGGGAGGTCCAGATACGTTAGGATAACGTGAGGACATCACTCTTTGTGCAGCATTCGTTCCAGCAGGATGCAGCGGCTGCAAATTATTAAATGCATAATTGGAAATTTAGTAAAACACAGAAATTTAGAAACACTGAATCTCAGAAAACGAATATTTGTAATGGTTAGGCTGGAAAACTGAAACAGTAAGCGAAGAAAAGGAAAACATTACCCTTCCACCAGGATGACCTCCACGCATTAGCATGTACTGCTGTTGATGATATGCTAATGAGGACAGTCGTCTCTTTACACCACCACGCTTGGTATTACTCCTGAAAATGATATGATTTCGTAAAGATACTCCCGAAATGTAATAAAAGGACCACTACATCCGTATCAAAACTCCGACTTTATTTTTCTGATATCCCTGATATGAATGGGTGAAGAGTTATTTTAAATGGTGGAAGTAATTTCTTAAAATTTACTGCCCCATTGGAACTTAAAAGATACAGATAATATAGGTAAATTTTGTAAGGATGCTCGACAAATCACTTTAAATGACAAAAATGTGTCACGAAAACAATTTTAAGAGAATAAATAAATAATCTAACCAACATATTATGTTAAATATGTACGTTCAGATAATAACCATAATCGGTATACTTCAACAAATAAGAAAGATGCACTTTTAAAAATATTTTTTTGCCGGAAAAAATAATTCATTCGATCAATTGACATAAAAATGTTTCAAAATTTGATATGATACCTTTTTTTGCTTGGTTGTTTTTCAGTAATTACAGATTGATTGCCACTGCGTCCTAACTTAACATCACTATCCGTTACATCCGTATGACCACCCATAGTTGATGCCATACTGTTATCGTCGTAATGTAAGTGAGTAGTATATGTGTAACGTAAGCCTATATATCAATGTATACTGAAATAGGGGATAAATATAAGAATCATAAAATGAATCAAGAGAAAAAAAATAACATCATTTTGAAATCATGTCATTTATTGTACCCTATGCCTGATACAAAAATATCATACATGTTAAGCATTGACGTTTATTGACTATTTTTTTTTCAATATAATCCATGATATTTCCCCATGAACAAAGTGAAAAAAAAAAGTCCAACATATCACATCGGCCTCGCACATACTGTCAACCATTTCGTTAGTGACTACAAAGTTATCCTCACTATTTACACCTTGCTAATCGCTCGTAAGCCTATTTATCGGGTCTATTTGCAAAATTATTTTCCCAAACGATTAACATAACCAGATATTATTTGCTTTAAAAACAAAGAAAATTCATATAGATGAAAAGGATAAAAGAGCATATTAGAGGTGGTATTATTTTAAAGAGAGAGAGAAAAAAATGAGGCATATTAGAGATGGTATTATTTTAAAGAGAGAGAGAAAAAAAATAAAAACTTAAAATATGATCAAGTACATTGATAAATTAATATCATAAGTCTTTAAAGTTTTTTTATTTTTCACATTTTTTTTTTTTGATACCATATCCTTTATTTTATTGATATTACCAATATTTCATATCTTTTTTACACTTTATATGCATTGCTATCATAAACCTTTTAAATATAATATTGAATTACTCAATTGTATACCTGAATATGTCAACTATAATTATTCATGTGAGAGATAAAAAACAACTACTGCACACGTAACTTGTATAAGTTACATAAAGTTAAACGCAAATTGCGCTACAGTAACTGTTAGCTGATATTGTATTTGGTAATGAAATGATTTATTTGTAAACAAATCATATTGTTTAATTTCATTAATGGTGTCAAATAATACTCATTAATTCATGATTTATTAATATTTGAGTAAAATCAACAAAGTAAAGAGAAAATAAAAACTCGTATACATAGGTATGTATGAGAAGTAATGGTTTTAGGGTGAAAAAGCAGTAGGATAGGATAAGTTAATATGTGATAAGCTTGGGCTTATAATAAGCCATAAATTATCAAGTAATGTTATTAAGTAATTCGAATTTCAAAATTACTAAGTAATGTTGTTAAGTAATTCGAATTTCAAAATTACTAAGTAATGTTGTTAAGTGATTCGAATTTCAAAATTACTAAGTAATGTTGTTAAGTAATTCGAATTTCAAAATTACTAAGTAATGTTGTTAAGTAATTCGAACTTTCAAAATTACTAAGTAATGTTGTTAAGTAATTCGAATTTCGAAATTACTAAATAATGTTGTTAAGTAATTCGAATTTCGAAATTACTAAGTAATGTTGTTAAGTAATTCGAATTTCGAAATTACTAAATAATGTTGTTAAGTAATTCGAATTTCGAAATTACTAAGTAATTCCATAATACTATTAAAATTGGCAGA